ATCGCCACGTGTGCCTTTGCCACGAAGACCAATGCTCACAACGATTTGGACAGTCCTTTCGTATTAAACGCTAGAAAAGTGTTTAATTTTAATATCATAAAAATACTGTCACTCATAGTTTTGCCCACATTTTTGGTGAAAAGAATTTTTGGCGGAAATAAGGATAAAACTGGAGTCGAGTTCTTCTTAGAGACCACGCGTCAGATCATTGCTACGAGACGTCAGAGTAAACAAAAGTATAATGATTTCATTCAACTGCTTATGGATGTCGAGAAGGACGGAGACATCACTAGAGATGAGGCAGATATACATGAATCACATCATGTAAACGAAGGTATCAAATCATTGCTAATATATCTTAAGACTAATAATGAATTGATTGTAAAGGAGAGGAAGAGTTGGAAAGTGAGAAGAAGGCTTTGAATGTGAATTTGGTTAACAAACAGTTGACTGAATATGAAATCCTGGCGCAGGCTATCGTCTTCTTTTTAGCCGGGTATGAGACGACGGCCACTACTCTGACGTTCTGTACGTATGAGTTGGCTCTCAATCAAGATATTCAGGACAAACTGTACGAAGAAATCAATTCTGCCGTCGATTCCAACGGAGAGATCAGTTACGAAGAGTTGGCTCGACTGCCATATTTAGATGCCGTCCTCTCAGAAACACTACGTCTTCATCCGCCGGCCCAACGATTGGCACGACTCGCCTCTACTGACTATAAATTGGGTGAAACTGGTATTACATTACTTAAAGGCCAACAAATTGAATTTCCAATCCATGGTATTCACCACTTGGAGGAATATTACCCGAACCCATTCCAGTTTAACCCTGATAGGTTTTTGCCTGAGAATAGACATAACATAATTCCCTACACATACCTGCCCTTTGGTGCCGGCCCTCGCAATTGCATTGGTATGAGGTTTGCATTACTCGAAGCAAAGTTAGGTTTGGCTCATATTATCAGGAAATACAGATTCTTCAGAACTCCTAATACAGACGTCCCTCTCATATACAAGCGTTCATTCCTTTTGGCGTCTCCTAAAAGACTTTTAGTGGGAATTGAGAAAAGGGACCAATAGTTTGCCACTAATGTACAGTACTATTTGTAAACTTATAAATTATAAGTTATAATAAGTATACACAACGTTAATACATTACATTAAATATTCATATGATTCTAAGACACTTATTAAAATAATAAAATTTGCCAAACATTAACAAACATTTAATGGTAACACATCCATATAATAATAATAATGTAAAAATTCTTTATAACTAAATAATACTTTGAGAAAAATTATTCACTACACTTAATATTCAAGTGATTTTATAACACTCGCTAAAATAACAACTGTTAACACATTAATGTAATAAATGTTTAGACTAAATAATNTAAAAATTCTTTATAACTAAATAATTCTTTGAGAAAAATTATTCACTACACTTAATATTCAAGTGATTTTATAACACTCGCTAAAATAACAACTGTTAACACATTAATGTAATAAATGTTTAGACTAAATAATAAAAATTATAAGAATTATTTATTTAGATTTATAAGAAATTAGTTTCAAATGAAATATTTGTGTAAGGAGTCGTTGCATTCAATACACTTTGTGTCACGAATTGAACGGTTCTAGTGTCTGAAGATCTTTCCAATTCAAAGACAATTAATTTGTTTGGTTTGGGGTATGCATTGAACAGGTGTTTGGGTGAGTATAGTGTGAGTTGTGGGCCAACAGTCCAATATCGACCCAAATTGAATCCATTGAGAAATGCGAGTCCTTTCCGCCATCCGTCCAGACGTAGGAATGTATCAAAAGGGTAACCCTTAGTGTCGGGTAAAACAAAGTCTGACGTATAGAATGAGGGAATCCTATCAAATGAGCTCTTCGTCGGTGGAATGGGAAGTGAAGACACAATATTAGAATATTCTTGAATAT